CCCTAGGAGCTTGGGATGGCAGCGGGGGAGCTTCCTTCCGGGTTCTGGGACTGTCTGAGCTTCTCTGCCCTGGGAGCCTCCCTAATTAAATTTAATAGTGGGATAATAAGAAAGCTGAGTAGAGTTTAGATGTATATGGATGGATCTTTTTCCCTGGTGTATTTAATGTAGGATGAGGTCGTGAATGACATAGTCTTCTATACCCTAACGTCAATGCCAAAACAGGTACTTTGTTTACAGGTACAAAAATCTACTCTAAATGTTGTGTTCTATCTTAAAATATTTAAAAAAATCTATTTAGCAGAGAACACTTTGACATTTTTGCCTGGAAGAAAATATCTGGCTTTCTACTATTTTTCTTGGAGGCATGCAGTGAGGCTAAGTGTCAGATACAGTTGATTCCCTCATTTAATTTTTCTCCTTGCCTTCATTAAACCTTCTACCTGGATTTCAAAACTTCTGTGGAGTTATGAAACTTAGCTACCATTGCCACTTTTTGGACTCTTCACATATCCAAGGCTGAGGCTGACAACTTTTCATCTGTTGGCTATATTAGGTTTTGCAGATCGTTTTTGAGAAATCCCTGGTCCACTGGGACCTCTGCCTATTGTTTTATCCCCTCACCACCACTTAAGTGGAATCTCTGAGGGGAAGAAAAGCAAAGTCATTTGCTCTGACCTCTTTCTTAAACTGGAATTTATTAATTTTAAATTAAAAAATGAATTTACAAATTGCAAACAAATCTTACGAACTTCTATGTATACATTGTATCTTGGCTTTGGTACACATGTGGTTTTTATTCTGTAAAATATGAAAATTCTTTCCTCAAATAAGTGTCAAAAACGGCTAATGTCACATTAATCTTTTACTAGTTTTCCTTTTCCGTGGGATGGTACAGGATTAGAGGATGGTAGAAGTCCAGGATGAAAATAAAAAAGGTGGAAAAGACACTAAGTATAGAGCAATGAAAAATAATTTATTTTCTTCAGCTCAGAGGTTCTCAATTGGGGGCTATTTTTCCCCTTAAGGGACATTTGACAATGTTGAAGACAATTTTGTTGTCACAACTAAGAATATTCTGATGGAATCTAAGGATAGAGGTTAGGGATTACTGCTAATAATGCTATGAAATACAGGATGGTCCTCACCACAAAGAATGATCCTATAAAAAATGCCAATAGCACTGAAGTTAAGTATCATTTGTCTTGTGCAACAATGTGGATATACTTAATCCTAACCTGTACACTTAAAAAATGTTTAAGAGGGTAAATTTTGTCATGTGTATTTTACTATAACTTTAAGAAAAAAATAACCTGGGTCCTTATGTCCTCAAAAAATTTCTATTTACAAGTCAGCTTCATGGTATTTTGATAGAAATAAGAAAATTTGACTTCAATGCCCATAGCTTAACTTCATTGTCAAGACTGAAGAGGTGAAATACACAACAGAGGTCACATGTAGATGCATAGAAGAGCCAGCCAAATAGTTGTGCAAGGGCCTCTCTGGGCCTGGAAAACTTGTAGTATCCTAAGTGACAGCTTGTGAAGATTGTGCACAAAGGGGAGAGGCAGTTCCCAGGCCCCTAAAGTATAGTGAAGGAATATTAGTCATATAAAAACAAGAGGTATCAGGGCCGAAGATTTAGCTTAGTGGTGCTGTGCCTGCCTCTCAAGCTGAAGGGGTCCTGAGTTTGATCCCTGGTACTGAGAAAAAAAAAAAGGTAGCAACTTCAACTGCAAGAAAATAGTGCCTCCTGCTGGTTAAAGCGAAAACAACAGCAAAACAAACATGCTTAAATCGTAACTATATTTGCTTACTATGAATCTTTTGGTTTGTTTTGTCATCTACAAAATGAGGAACTTGGATTCAATGACTTATAACTTCCTTTTCATTGTAATGAAATGGAAGAGTCCTTGTTTTCGAAGTCTTTGAATGTTCATATACACTTCGTATTTTGCCTGGGATTATGGATTCTCCTCATTTGATTTGTCCCTAGAATATCTTTCTAATGACTGTCATGGTTATTCTGAGTTTTGTAATACTGATCTGTTTTGGATAAGAAAAATCTTTAGGGAAAAATTTAAAAAGTGAACACATCTTTTTAGGGTATGTGTGGGGGATAATTTATATTAGTAAGAATGTAAATTTCATTTTTTTCAATTCATAAGAAAAACCGTGCATCCATGAATGTGAGGAGAATGGAGGAGGAAGAAAGGAAAGGCTGAAGTGGCAAAGCTCTTGCCAGCTATGTGTCTTTCTCTGGGGCTTAGCCCCAAGTAGAGATGCTTCACCCAGAGAATCAAACAGATGAGTCTCAGTACACACACTTACGGGAGAGCCCTAGCATGACATCAGGAAAACAAATTGCTACAGCAGTCAAAAGAGAGGTCTACCATGTGCTTTTTTTTTTTTTTTTTTTTTTGGTACCGGGGATTGAACTCAGGATCTTGAGCTTGAGAGGCAGGCACAGTGCCACTCAAGAGAAAGGTCTAAGGACCAGAGGACTGGAGAAGGATGAGATAGAAGGCTGCAGTCTGCAGAGGCAGGCAACCAGAAAGAAATTCCTGACGTGGGTAGGTAAAGGTGTGAAGGATGGGGGTAATATCCAACCTTAGTTTTGTTTAGTTTCCTTTTGTGCAATGCAAAATCTGACTATTGGTGCAAATCTTTTGTAACGTCTACAGTCTCTCCTGTAGGACTGATTTAGAGAAAAAGAAAAGAGGGCAAGTCTGATGTCTGTGCTGGCAGGGAGCAGAGGAAAGGGGACCCAGAGAATGGCTGAACAGGAGAGGTAGAGGTGCATGAACTTGGAGCTGGAATTGGCTATGACGTGAAATCCTTGGGAATTCACAGACACTGTATAGGCAGAATTGGACTTCCAGAAGGTGCAAGGAGAGCTTGGGCCAAAGGATGATTTGTACTTAGTATAATTCCGGGTTACACTAATGAATAATACAGAGGTGGGACTTCTACTTTGTGCTTTTGGTGATAGGATGAGGTATACCTGAAAATTCTAAAATCAGGTGGTTTTTTTTAGTCTTATTCTTTGATTTCACCATATAATATGCCTTCCCTTTCTACAGAAAAAGTCCTCTCAAGTATAAGTAATTTCATGATGAAATAAAAGTTTTACTTATTTTTGTATATAACATTTATTGACATCTACCAACTGAATGTTGCCTGAAGACAGTAACACACGAGTAAGGCCAACTCATGTTATAAAGGAGTTTATCCTCAGAGGAAGGGGGAGATGGCCCCAAAGCAACCACAACCCAAGGAAGAATGAAGTAAATGCTGGACTGAGTACAGAAGAGTGTCAGTTAATTCTGCTTGGGTAATATTAATACAGAATCCAATTAATGAATGAATGGATATTCTTTCTGAAGTTTCTATCTTTTTCTTTAATCACTTCTCTTTCCTGTTAAGGAAAAAAATAAAAACATTCTGACATGGTATAAAATGCATAAAAACCATCTTACAATCTTATAAACACAGAAAATTTTGCACATGGTATGTATAGTCTATCATTTGCCTAGCTCTGATTTCTGAGCCTGGGACAAAGGTTTTGAAGAACCGCCCGCAAGGGCTGAAAAAGCATCTTGTACATCTGATCCTGAGGATCAGATACCTTTGTGTTTTGTCTCTTCGATTTTATTAGCTGTGTGACCCTGAATAAATTACTCTACTATGTAACCTCTTTTAAAGCTACCAATCTGTAAAATGAGGATAATGTGGATAATAATGCCTTACTAGATTGTTGTTAGGTTAAGTGAGTTAATTCATGTGACATTCTTGGTACACTGTAAGTACCTGGTACATTTTAGCTATTAATTTTATTTTTCTGAAAATAGCATTGGGAGTCTTGTGTCCATCATTCATTGTCTTTTGAATCTGTATTTTTTGCTCATTTCCTTCTTTAGTGGTATTTGGGATCCAGGGCTCGTATTACTTTTGGATTAATGAACTCCCTAAATGTATAACCTACATAATTAAATCTTACATTCATTTGTCCAGGAATTTTTTGCCGACCTGTACTAAGGGTGCCTCTTTCTGTAATACTTAAGGATTTAACACACCAATCAGTTTTCTTCCTCTCAAAGTTAATTACATGGCCTCAGATCTTTTTTTTAACCCTTTTGTATTTTTCTCAAGATTCTAAAATGGTTGAGGAATTACATAGAATATTCTATGACTTTCTCGCTTTTGTATAAGGGAAGGGTAGGATATTCTGCTTTGATGGGGCTAACTTCACCAATAACAGCCAGTGTTTTGTGAGTCTCATGGGTGCAGCAGGTTTTTATGTAGGATCTTTAAGGTTTAGTTACACAGATTTTTTTCCAGAGTGTGTTGTCTAAAGAGTTATTTTGTGTGATTTCAGTGATATTCCATAAAACTGGTTATCATTTAGGAACCACTGTGTTAGATAGTGCTTGTTTAAAGTGTGGAGTCCATAGTTTGAGGCTGCCCAGGGCTTAGTGAACAGTAATTTAGATCTTTATAAAAATAATTTTACAACTTATTTGTGGAAAATAAAATGGCAATTTGAACATTATTAAATTAGACCTTGAAGGCATGGAAGAGAAGATAATTCTTCCTCTCTGCTCATAGATATAGAAGGGAGGCTGAGGACAGCCAGGGCAGGCCAGGGCGGTCTCTACAGCTCCAGGGCAGCGGTGGCCCAGCCAGCTGTGGGTCTGGGACTCTCCACTCCCAGCTCCGTGCTGTTCTCCAACTCTTGTTCTACTGCAACCAATGCCTGCAGCTCACTGCTACTACTTGCTTTTATTACTTCTATGAGCTAAGTGTTATTTCTTACTCAATTAAAAAAAATAAATTGGGGGGGGGCACAGTAGATTGAATCCAGAGCCTTTGCACTGAGGTGCATCCCCAGCCCTTTTTTACTTTGAGGTTGAGACAGGGTCTTGCTAAGTTGTTGAATTGCACAGGCTGATCCTCCTGCCTCAGCCTCCCAGAGTGCTGGGATCACAGGTGAAATTAATTGTTTTTTTTTAACATCATTTAATAAAAATGAAGAACGTTTCATTATCAAAAAAGCACAATAAATAACATGATAAAATAGTGTCAATATTTTTAAAAGAGCTTATTAAATGTTAAATACCTTACAAAAAAAGATAGTGCTTGTTTAGTATTCCTTAATATCTTATGCATCTGAAACATAGTACATAGTGTTTCTTGAGGTTATTTCTCCATAGCATTCTTTTTGGGGAATCACCTTGTAGAACTAGGATTCTAGGAACATGGTTTAGGAATTACAGATTTATAGTAAATTTTAAGTTCAGCTGACAGGTCAAAGCCATTTTTCTACAGGAGTAAATTTTCTCTAAAGATGTAAACTATGATGTGGAACCACTTTCATTGCTCTTTTAATCATTCAAAGACTTTCATGTGATCTTTTTGCAGTGTATTCTTATTATATATATCCATATATAATTTCTGATATTTTGATTTTTGTCAGGTAAGTTGGATTATATTTGCTGACTTAGAGATGTAATTCTATATTCTATTGTCTAGATTACTTAAAAAACTTCTAGGTAGTAAAATAAAACTTATTAGGTAGTGAAAGACAAGGATATATGGTAGAAAGAGTATGAAATCACACATACCTAGTTTGGAATCATTGCTCAAGAATTTGGCAGTTATATGACTTTGGACAATTAGCCTCTTTTAAACCTTCTTAGTCTCATCTTTATCTAAAGACATGGATTTTTAAAAATCCTTGTCCTTTGATTATTTTCTCAAATACTATTTTTGACTTCAAAGAAATTTAAATCAGCGTACTTTAAAAAAAACTGAATGTGAAACTTAAAACAAGTGTAGAATGGGACATGAGATGTTTATAAGCTGAGATGATATAAACCTGAGATGTTTATAAGACCAACAATTATAGCAGTGGGTGTCCATAGTTAGCCACTTTCCGCATGTGTATATGTAAGCAGGAACACTGGGTCACTTTTAATCATTGGGGCCAAATTCTTGGGTATGCGCAGTGATGGAGGATGGTATTCTGTTCTTTCAGTCCATTCCCAGAAGGGGACACTCGCCTAAAGTACCTGAACTGATCAAGTAGGAACAGTGAGTGGGAGCTTGAGGACCTTGATAATGCCATTTTCATAATTTCACCACATGATAACATATTACTAAAGTTTAAAACTTAAAATGAGTGTAACTTTGTACTCATAAAATAATCTCATTAAAGTTGAGTATCTAGCATCTAGTTTCTCTCCTCAGTAGGCTTTAAAATTTTAAAAAAAGTTGGTTTGAGACAGGGTCTCACTATATAGTTCAGGTTGACCTTGAACTCACTATGTAGCCCGGGCTGACCTCAAACTCTTGGCATTCCTCCTGCCTCAGCCTCCCCAGTGCTGAGATTACAGGCATGTGCCACCATGCCCAGCTCTCAGTAGGGTTTTAGATGTGAGTTCCAGTGTGGTTTTCCAGATAAATAGTCATTTCCCAGCATCTCTTAAACCTATTCAAGGTGAAAATGTGAAATCTTCTTTACTTGAAATTATAAATATTACCATATAATTCCTGAATGCTTTCAACATCATCCCTTGCAAGTTTGAAACTTTGAAAATCTGCAATTTCATATGTTGGATACATCACAGCATTAGGGTTATTGGAGTGACTCAAACCCAGAGAATGGCCAAGTTCATGAGTTGCAGCATATAGGAAGTTATTTCCTACAACCAAAGAAGTGACATACAGTGACTCTGGAAATAATTATAAAAATACCTATAACATAGTATATAATGTAACAATAAAAAATAAAAGCAACTATATGGATACCTACCTCTCAATCTACTGTAGTTTATTTCTGGGCCTTCAAAAGTATGGAGGGGTTAAAGAAAGAATCAGATAGTAGTGTTTTAATATCACCACTACTCCTGCTTATTAAAATATGTTTTTATTTGCCACTTTGATTCTTTTATAATCACTCAAGCAGTAATATTCTATTTGGAAAGAAAAGCTTTATTTTTTATTTTATTTTTTTTTTGGTACCGGGGATCGAACTCGGGTCCTTGCACTTGTGCAGCAGGTGGTGAAACCACTGAGCTAAATCCCCGGCCCTAGAAAGAAAAGCTTTAAATCACTAAGACCTGGATTTATAATATAGTTCCACTACTTGACTAGCTGGTCGATACTGGACAAATTAATTGATATTGCTTAGTCTTAGTTGCTTTTCTATTAAATAGAGATAAAAATTCTTACACTACAGATTTTCATGATAATTAAAATTTCCCAATATCTGGAAAATAATGGCTAGGCAATAAATGATTATGACTTTGAATGTCAGAAGAGAGAAAGTTAGCATTGAGCAAGCCAAGATTGAAAGGCAAGATGTTCAGGCAATGCTGGGATTTAAAAAAAAATTTTAGTATAAAATAGTACTGTGTGTGTGTGTGTGTGTGTGTGTGTGTGTGTGTGTATACACACACATATATATGAGTTGTGACAAAAATATATGGTGAACGTTTAAATATAAAATGTATTACAGTAAAGGACATATTGCCCTTAAGCCCTCTCAAAATAGTCCCCTCACTTTGAACAAAGTGTGTCACTATTCTTGCCACTTTCCAAATCAGTTCTGGAAGCACTCTTTCGTGAATGTCTTCATGAGCTTTGATAAAAAAATTGTTGAATGAGGCTGCTGCGTGTCATCCCACTGAAAGGTGGGATCATAAAAACATTAAAGTGTGTCCAGTGCATCCTCATCCATCTTATTCATTAGATCTGGCACTGTGCAACTTCTGGATTTTCCCTAAATTCAAAACAACACGTAAATGTTTTGAATTGATTCATGACATTGAGGCAGCTACAACAGTGCAACTAAACACACTCATGAAAGTGGCAAGAATGATGGGCTAAGTGTGTTGAATTGAGGAAGAGTATTATGAAGGGAATCAATGGCAATGTGTCATCTAATTTAATACATTTTAAAAAATTTGGACATTCATTGTATTTTTCGATCACATCCTGTATCTTTAGAGTTCTTTTCCTCATTCATGCATGTAGAAAATCTTTGTAAGTAATGGAGAAATTATGAATAAGCCTGTGAGTTTTCAGGAATTACCTGAACTTCAATTGTGTTGCGCTAGATTGAAGGAAGCTATATTTAACCTAACTTGAGTGGGAAGAAAGAATGAAAAATACATGCAAGGTGTGGAAGGGAGACAGCATCTCTATATCATATAGGTTAAGTTTTCACTACTTGGTTTGAACTGTGGTAAATTCCATTTTCAAAACACAAGTACTAATTTCTCTTTCTCAGCCAGATAATAGCTATTTTTCTAAAGAAGTATTGTCTCCAGTTAGGATCATTTATGCCAAGGCTGTACTTCATGAACTGAGATAGTCCTATTAAAAGGAGGGTAATAATATGTAGTTCTTGTTTATTGTCTTCTTTTGTTTAAAAAATCTGTTCATCTTTTGCCTCTGGTTTTTGTGGATTCAAATACTAATTTGAAAGCAGAATAAATTATATAGTCATTTAATAAAATAAGTATGGATTAGTGAAGAGAAAATTTAATATTTTTGATGAAGTACCAGGATGCTGTTTTATAAGATGAAGAGAAAAACCCCTCAGTTCCCTGTTCGTTTGTAATTTCCTACTTTGTAAAGTGATGAAAGTAATGGCTTGGGAGTTGTTTTTTTAACAACAGTGAATAACCCCAGAATTATATATAATTCTTAAATATTATAGTCTCTAGTCCTCTTTGTTTTCAATTTGACACATTTATTTTTGGAAAATATGAAAAAAGCTATAATTTGTTGAATTATTAATGTATTCCAGCACTGTGCTAAGCACTGTATAAGCCATTATTTCATTTAATTCAAACAACATTTCAGATGGGAACTACTGCTATTCCCATCTCACAAAGAGGAAATTGAGGCTCAGAGAAGTTAAAAGATTTGCCCAAGGACACACCGAGAGTAACTGGTAGAGACACAGCAAATTGAACCCAGTGCTACTTGACTCTATGACCTGAGCTTTCATCTTCTGTATTTGTAACATTACAAATATATTAAATAAGTTTATAGCATTTCAAGCACATAGTACAGTGGTTAGCACTGAAGGCCCTGGTAATTATTATAAATTAAAGCAATAGAATTAGCACAAATTTGGGATTCTAAAAAGGGTGGGTAGTAGAATGGACATGGGATGCTATACCTAGACTGCTGCCATCAGTCCAGTATTCATCCTTGTCAAAATGAACATCTCCTCCTAAGCCTGGCCCAGGTGGAAAGGCATGAGCTAGTATGTTTCCTGGTCCGTCAAATGGGTTGAAGTCACCATGAGCTGCAAGAAAATGGGACAGTTTTCCTTCAAGACTGAATTTTTCTGTAGTTATTCTATGTTTTTACTTTATTTATTTATTTTCCCCCATTAACTTTATTGGTACATTTTAGGTATAAAATACAGTTACATTCATCATTGGGATCTTGTACCATTACATGAGTATCTTGGTTCTTATTTT